TGTCTTGCCTGCTGCAACTTATTGTAATAGACTTGTTGAAAGATATCACATCTACCCAAGGAACCTTGTCTGCCTCTGTCCTTAGACCAGGGGTAGGCAACCCTGGGCAGGGGTGCCAGTGTGGCACTCGACAGGATTTTGCTTGGCACACATGCCTCTGGGTGGATGGCGGGGAAGGGGCCAGAGTACATGGCCACAACAAGGATCGGGCCCCTCGTGGCTCCCCTGCCATCTTCCCCTTGCACGCCAACATCTTCCAAGTTGAAGTGGTGGGTGTTTTTGGCATTCTGCCTTGGTATTGCCAGCTCTGTTTAAATCAGTTCTGGGAGGTTTCATCATATGACATAGTGACATGAATTACAGTGCACCAACCTCACGTCAAGAAGGAAAATGCACGTTTTAAAAATCCACAGGAGTACTGAATACATCCGATTCACTGTTTAATATTTATTTTAATGAATGCCCTATCGTTCATCTCCCAGGTGACTTGCCACTCTCCTGGAGATTTCTCTCTAAGTCCTGGAGATCCCAGAGCAAACCTGGAAGGTGGGCAACCCTGTGCCTTAGCCCAACACGGCTACCACCAACGCGAGTGTGAAAACTGGGTTTTTGGTTGTCCTTAGACCAACTGGGTTGTTGGTCTAAGGACCTAGGCAGGCGAGGCTCTTTGAGCGATATCTTTTATTAGACCAAGGCTTTGAAACATTTTTTTATTAAACATTTTGATGGGGACAGCACATCATGTTGCGATCTGGGTGGAGCGGGCAACTCTGCTTTCGTTTCCAAAACGGCTTTTCCTACTCGTGGCAGGGGAAGTTCTTGGAGGGATGTCTTTTTGGAGCGAAAAAAAGTTTATAGTAAACTTTCCTTTTTTTCCAGCAACGGTCATAAAAGACATGGCTCCAAGAACCTCCCCTGCCACGAGTAAGAAAAGCCGTTTTGGCAACGAAAGCAGAGCTGCCCGCTCCACTCGAACCGCGGTGCGACGTGCAGACCCTTTCCAAACGTTTAGGAGGAAAAACGTGCTTCAGAGCGAGAAGGTTATCAGCTCCCGCCGCCACCGCCTCAGCCCCCGGCGCCTCCTGAGGGGAAGGGCAGCGGGCGCCCTGGCTCGGGAGGAGTCGCTGGGCGGGGCGGGGCTGTGCCCCGGGGGGGGGGGCTGGGCG